AAATGTCCAGACACCTCCACTGGTATTCTGTAAAGAACAAACGTATGTCAAAAAATTTATTTAAAAGAAAAAAAAAAAAGGAAAACAGCATAAACGAAGGGTTAAAGGCCTCTTACAAGGTGTGGATGGAGTATTCGATGCTGGTATGTTGTAATCTATTTTTAAATTTTCCATCATAATCTCTTAACATTAAATAGTATATACTTAAAGAATTGACCTTTCAAAGGCTTGATATGTTTGTTTTTGTAGATTATGATTATAAACCATTAAATCAACTAATTGCTGATCGTGATAGGGTTGTTAAAGAAAATGACAGATTACACCTGCATGAGGTATTGTACACAGTCTTTAAGATAATTAAATGATCCAAAGTAATTAAATTTACTAATAATAATAATTATTATTTTGTTAACGATAAGTCGCGAACGATAGCCGACATTAAAAGAATTGAAAAAGAAATCGCCGAATTGACCGCAAAAAAACTTAGTCTTGAGTCTAATCTTACAAATTTTTGCATCCGAAAAGTTGAATTGAATGACCAATGTGAGTTTTAAAAACTTTTTGATTACATCTTAATGTTTTAAATTGGAATTAACAACGCTGATCAATTTAGTGGAAGATTTAAACGAAAAAATCGCCAATTTTGGATTAGAAGATAATCATAATGGGCACAATACGCATAGTAAGAAAGGTCAGTATATTCGTATAATTTGTCCTTTTCAAAAGCTAAAGTTTACAATTAAAATTGGATTTCATAAATCAGGAAAAACAAATTTAAAACAGCAGCAGCAACCAGGAACCTGTATAAAGGTAACTAATATTTATATTTTGCACCACCTATTTCAATATTAATTTATTGTTTTGCACTCTTTGAAGATTTTAGAAGGACACGATGATATGATTTTATGTCTTGACTTTGATAAACCTTATGGTACTCTCGCTACGGCCTCTCTGGATAACACTTTGAGGTTATGGAATTTGGCGAATTATCAAAGTTTAGGAATTCTAGATGGCCATAAGGGTTAGTAAAAGAACTCACCTTGTTCAAAGATTTAATTTCATTCCCCAATATAAAGCATCTATTTTTTTATTTTATTTTTATTATAGGCGTTGTAAATTGCATGCGTATGGATAAGCGTCGCTTGGTTACTGGGTCTCGTGATTGTACTATTAGACTATGGGATATCTCAAAAGTGTCATCACCTTCTAAAGTCAAACAGATATCTGAAATAAAATTTAATCAGGGTGAAAATGGATTACCTTTTATTGGTGACGATTGCTGGCTAGCAACATTAGAAGGACATACGGGGAGTGTCACATGTTTGCATTATGAAAATGGCTGTTTGGTACGGATAATTAACAACATAAATAACTTAGGTTACAGAATTATTTGAGCGAATTAGTATTAAATTCCATTCTTATTACGAATTAAGGTATCGGGTTCATCAGATAAGACTATGAAACAATGGGATATGGAAACAGGACAATGCATTTTAACAATGGACATTTTATGGGCCATGTCCAGTTCAAAAGCTGAACTTAAGCAAGTAGGTTTTTTCTCAGGAGAATACGCATTTGAATATGGAGATTTTGTCGGAGCTCTGCAATTCCGAGATGTTGGTTTGGCAAGCGGAACTGAAGATGGTGTAATTCGAATGTGGGATTGTATCTTATTACTGAATAATATTTGACATCGTTACTTTATTTTATTTTATTTAATTTTATTACTATTTTACGATTTCAATCCATAACCACACAATTAATTTCTAACAGTGAGAACAGGTCAGGCTCATCGCGCATTGCTCGGCCATACTGGTTAGAATCTACAAATTCTAGACAATTACTATCTTATGGCGCCTTGTATTAATTACGTTTTTTGTTATATAGGCCCTATAACGTGCCTTCAGTTTGATGATTTACATGTCGTAAGTGGAAGTGTTGATAAAAGTATAAAGGTATCTATTGTATATTAAATGATTATATGCTTATAATATGTATAAAAGTAATGTTTCATCTATTTATTAAAACTTTCAAGATATGGGATCTAAGAACGGGATCCGTAATCGATACTTTTTTGTATGATCATAGCGTCGTCAGTTTACAATTTGATCCTCAAAAAATTGTCTGTAGCGTTGGCACTAATGATATAAAGGTTAGGTGTTGATTTATATGTTAGTTTATAAACTATTAAACTAATTCATTAACAATTTTATTAATTCGTTAATTATAGTTATATAATAGAATTTCGTTTCAACAATCTAAAATCGAAGGGCACACACTACCTGTACGATGTATAAGATATAAGGGTTCAATATTATCTTCGGGTGGTCAAGATAATCTTATAAAAATATGGGCGTTATAATTACTCAGCCTATAGTAAAAAAAAAAAAAAAAAAAAGTCATGAATTTATCAAACTTTTTTTACATTCCTTTATTTTTAAGCAAGAAAAATTTCAGCATACTGTGTAAGCTCGTGCTTCCCTTGTGCTACAAAATAACGGTATGTTTTAGAATGCATCACATATGGTGCCTAGTCATAAGTATCTAATGATGTGACATGTTGCTCATAGTCAATGCTACATTAATTCAAATTAGAGTTTGAATCGGGTTTATTTTTCATATGTAAACCCGGGTTTAATCGGTTTTTATATATGAAATAAAACCAGTTCCAAACTATAAATTCCAAATTAATGTTAATATTTCAAACTATCGCATTCCAGCACTTTTGACTGGGCACTGCATATATTTTAAAACCTGTTGCTAATAATATATATGCTCATCTTAAGGTAGAAATCGGTCACATTTAAGGTGATGACGATATAAACTCATGATCAATAAATTATATTTACCAGTTTGAATAGATTATAACCAAAAATCTCGAGACATTCTTAGAAATAACATACATTATGGATTGTCCAATCAAATTAATATCAAGATGATTTCGATAATATATGTATATCTTATTAAAAACAAGGATTTATTTGTTAGAAAGAAATTATACATAACTCAAGTTTTTATAAAGAAATATAAAAAAAATAATAATAATACACAATATGCAAGTTTAAAAATTTTAAACATATATTTTGGTTTAACTTTACAAGTTTATAAATATAAAAAATTTTTATTTTTATTGAACATTATAAAGAAACTTGTTTAATTATTATATTTAAGGATATTGGCTTGAACAGCCTGACTCGTTATAATAGATAAAGCTATAATGCTTATTAAAAAACCCCTGACACTATTCATAAGTTCATGAGTTATAAAAATACTAGTAAAATTAAACTATTTGTAAAATTAATAGAATGAACTATTGTATAGTATAGATAAATATAATTATTATAAAAAAATATATAAGAGAGGGTCGGGTATTCTGGTATATCTAAAAGTTGCTTATATAAAACTTTTCAAAAAAATTTTTATTTATTTTTTTTTATTTATTTGTTTTTTTTTTACTTTTTACTTCAGCGATCCTACTTTTATTTTATATATCGGCAGTATATTACATTTAGGGATCAGATGGCTAATCCTACCGCCTATCTATTAAGTACTTCATGTCTGTTCAAATAAAAATTCTCTCAATCTGTCTCATTATCACAGTAGAATTCAAGCAAAGCCAAAATTCTATTCTAGAGTATGACCCAGGAGCGACCTGCCTAAGTGATAATTTTCCTCCTTCTGGGATTCTCAACTTACTGAGGATGTAATCCCCAGCTATCAACAGATGGTTTCACTGACCTTGTCAGAATCACTGCTCTACAATAGAGTGCAACCAATCTGATGACACTTTCTCGTAGAGAAGTAAAAAAGAAAAAAAGAGGTATAGAGAGAACAAAAAAGGGGTAAAGTATAAACAAGCATACAAAGAAAACGACCAAATTATAAAGGAATCTAAAAACTATCCTAAAATCTATGAGAACCTATCTTCAGATATAAAACCTGCTAACCAGGTGAAAACTATCTACATGGTTGTAGAAATCTATACATAGAGCTATCTGACAAAAAGAAAAAGAAACTATGCACTAAGATGCACTTTAACCTGTACCAAGAGTTAAAAATTATATGCATATGACTTCGGAATAAGCATATCTCTACATTATCATTCCAGTTTACAACTCTCTATTAAATTCAATTTGAATCCTAAAACGTCTGATTCTAAAGCCTCGATCACGTGATCGTTGATTCTAACGTCTCCTTTACTTTCAGCTGACCCCGATTACGAATAGTTCTGCTACTTATAGTTCTTCACTTCGAATGTGCTTCTTCATATTTCAGGTTAACAGGGTTGGTCCTTTCGATCACTGTCATTGGAAGCTACTTCCTTGGTATATCCCGAATAGGGGCTACCCTATAGCCATGCCCCGATCCAAACAAGGTACGTACTATTTATCATTCTTCGATCTGGATATCTATTAAAACTTCTTCCTCCT